TGTGTCACAAAAAATTTCCTCGATCTGACTATCTGTGGAATCATCTCCGAACCCATTCAAGAGAAAAGCCACATGAGTGCACCGTATGCCACAAGAAGTTTCGGAGCTTATCCCAATTGCAGCAACATCTGCGAGTCCATACCGGAGAGAAACCACACAAGTGTACAGAGTGCCACAAGGAGTTTTCTCGATATAGTAATCTACACAGGCATTTTTTAATCCACACCGGAAATAAACCATACGAGTGCACCGTGTGCCACAAGGCTTTCTCCCAATCAACCCATTTGCACACACATCTCCGAATCCATAATAAGAAATAATGTCTCGGTCGGCTTCCGCAAAAAATGTTCGGCGAGTGCATTTTTTCCTGCCCATAATCGTAAGAGATTGATAACTTGCTTGATGAAAGGAGAAACGAAATGACTTAATTCTCAGGAGCCCATTATATGCAAGGGCCAAGTTTTTCAACTCATTGAAAAGTTTATGTCAGATTCTGCTTATTGGTCCTATAGTATTCTTGTACCTCAATTTTATGAAATACACAGTTTTTCCACACTTGCCACAGTTTTTGTTCGCTAGTATAAAACATTAATCCAAGTTGAATCGTGCAGGTTTGCAGGGCGGCGCGACGAGGCGCCTGGCTGGTAGGCCACGTCGGGCGAGCGCCGCGCGCGGGAGCGCCGGGCGGCCTACCTCCGCGGCGCCCGGGCCCGCCCGCAGTCCGCAGTGCTTGCGCTCACCTGGGTGTCGCTGGGGAGCGCGGCCAGCGCGTCCTCGTACGCGTCCGACAGCACGACGCACACGGCCTGGCGCACGACCCGCTCCGAGTCCAGCGCGGCCCGCGAAGCCGCGTCATCCAGAGACACCTGCGCAAACGAGGCAAAGTCGAGGTTTCGGCCGAAAGGCTTGTCGGGGTTGAAGGGCACCGAGCGGCCAGCAGCCGGCCCACATGGGCCGTGCCGGCAGCCGCCGACATTCGGAACGGATCAGCGTTAGGGAGGAGCGCGCACATCTGGGCGCACCATGCTCAGCACACACGGGTGGACATTGACGGACTTGGCGAAATGTGAATCCAGTTCAGATTGGCTGCCTGTCGCTTGTCGCTTCGCAAGCGTGCAGCACGCCGAGTAAACTCACAAAATCTCGGTACGACTCCAGCAGCCTCCTCAGTGGGACTTCTTTGAACGGCCCCTCGCGGCAAGTGCAGCCGTCGGGGCAGTTCAGCCCCCAGGTCGCCTCCTCGGCCCCGGTCGGGCTCGCCGGCAAGCTCGCCGCCACCAGCGCCGCGCCCCGGGCGTGCCTCTGCGAACACACAAAGCCCGCGCCGCACCGTCATCGTCACGCTGCAGGACACCTCGTCGTCGTATCGGCGTTGAGGGGACCACCTTGACGTGCAGTGCCGACGTTCCCCGGACGTGCAGCGCCCCCGCCACGACCGCGAGGAGGACGCCGACGGTGCACTTCGTGCTCTTGGACCTCCACATGCTGACGGCGAGGGCCTCGTCCCGGGACGCACTGCGGGCAGAGCGAGCGCCTCCTGCCTCCGCCTCCCCTCGGCGGCGGCCACCTCCCTCCCCTCTCCTCCCCCGCACCCCTCCCCAATCTCCCCACGCGGGAGCCGCCGTCACCGACCTCTCGCGCGTAGGGTCAGTGGCGGAGGAGGAAGTGGAGTGCAAGCTGCAGCCCCGTGCTCCTAAGCGGGGCAAGGTGCAGACCCCTCACTCATGCCATTACAGGACAGCCGAGCTACCCATTTCCGTTCGGGGGGTAGGATGATGACCCTTATACCCCCCCCCCACAAAGAAACCTTCCCTTGCACTTCCTTTCCTCCCATCCAGCAGCTTCCTAGAATTGGGGGAAAACTCATGCTGAGTTCCGCATCTCATCCGCCTGCAGACGTACTTGTTGCTTCCAGCGCAAAGGCGCGCTGACGGACGTGGACGTGGAGCCGGTCGCCGCAGGAAGTCGTCCTGATAAAAATGCCTCCCTCCCTACCCAATGCCGCCTTCCCCGCCCTCCCTTTCCCGCCTCCTCCATTTCCCTCCAATATCGCCCGCTTCACATGGCTGCTCTACGCATGCAGTCGTTGCCTGTGCATTTGCATATCATCCAATTTTCATTATATATGTTCTTTCACCCGCTGTGCGCGACGTAGTATTGCCTCGGTGACCAGCCACACACGCTACACATTCATTCCGTTTCCTCATCGGTGGGTCCAATAAAATGCTGAGCGTGAATGCACCATTTCTTTAATCAAACAATAAGATAACACAGAGACATAGTGACCGTGTCACTTCGACCAGAACCAAATCACAGTCATTGTTCGGTGAGCAGCCGACAGTCAGCGGCTAGCCTAGCAGGTCGTGGACTCGCCGCTCGCCTCACTCTCATCCTCCTCCACGACCTCAACCTTGGCGCGCGCCTTACGCAGAACTGCCTCAAACTCCTTGGTGCGGCCGGTGTTGAACTGTAACAGGAAATGTGATCGTAGAGGCAAGGTCAAGGTTTTGAGGTTCTTAGAACGTCGTCGTGCCCCCCCCCCCCCAATATAAAAAAAACAAGTCTGATTTGTTGTACCGGATTAGAAGACCGCTGAATTTTGAGCTTGGAGTCGAGGAGCCAGATCTGCTTCTGGTCCACGTGCCCTTCGAGTAGCTTCACGAGGTCACTCTTCTTGAGGGCGAGCAGTGTCTTGCCCTCCAGCCCAGCCAGGCGCATCACCACTCTGCGGACACGGAGACGACGGGGATACAGACGGCCACGGTCAGGCGCACATTCCTCATTGATCTCACCGAGCCGTGCGCTTTCAAGTACTTACTCGTCCTTGAAACCCTTCGCCCTCAGCCACTCGGTCACCTCCTCCTTGGTGGCGCTCTCCTTGAGCGGGATATCGGGGGTGCGGGGGATGGCGAGCTTCTTGGGTCCGTTGGCGAGCCGCATGCGAATCTCCGCTTGGAGCAACTCTGCGTTGGACATAATGCCTGCGGGAAGGGCAGAGTGAAGTCAAACGTCCTGCCCAGCCCAGGGCCTAGGGAATTCCAACCTGGACCTCGATACTCGGTCCATCCGTAAAGCCCCTGGGGTAGGCAAACCCGCAAAACCGCTGTGCCATAACGCTGACACACGGCAGAGCCCGAGAGTTGGAGCACCCCCCTCCCGTGTTCGTACCTTATTACCATCCCCTACTTGGTATTCACTTACCGAAGTCGGAGCCGTTGCTCAAGGGTGAGTACGGCGTGGTGGGGGTAGAAGGCACTTCCGAGGTGATGGTGGAAGTGCTGTTGATGCTCACGGACCTGGAGATGCTGTTCGGGATGCTGGTCTGCCTCTCGACGATTTGCAGCGGCGGCCTCGCGGGCTTCAAGCCCTGCGCGGGGGGCATCGGGGGTGGCGTCGGTGGCGTGGGGGCGGCCTCCCCGAAGAGCGCTGCAGGGCGGGTGAGACAGACGGGGAGGTTGCGGTCAAACTGCGTGCCTGAGATGGAGGAGGACGAGGAGAAAGCTTCCACGAGGACACGGGCACAGAGCTGATGATGCGCAAGCTTCTTGGACTTAAAGCGAGGGTAAGGGGGTGGTGGGGAGCCAAAAGAAGACGAACACAAAGGACTTGTTTGGAGACTCTGTATAGATTTATTGAAGTTTACAGGAAATATAATTTGAATCACTGTTAAAACTATACAAACACCAAGCTTGATATTCAATCTGAATAATACTCTGGTATTTTGTTATGTACATAATATGTATAATATGTAACATCTTTGGAAAACCTACATTGTATTATCAAATGTAAGAGGGCATATGTGTATGTACAGGTGTCATTAGATGGTTTCTTTCCATGCTCAGGAATAAATGACAAATTAAATTTCAATTTTAGAGGGACTGATAGAGAAAGCATGTCTGTGATGCCCAGGTGGCAGAAGAAGACTTAAATTGAAAGTATCATCTAAATATGAACAATTGAAAAGGGTATATAAATCTTCTAATAGTCTCTATCGCTACCTAATACACTGTATTTCTGAGCATGGATAATTAATACGTAAATATGAGCAAATATTACTTTCTCAAATAATAATAATAACAACAACAACAACATCAACAACATTAAGCAACCCTGTAGGTAGACTTAATCTACCAGCATTTGGATTACATACATTTGATATAAATAAACAACACAAAAGCTATGGCTGAAGCAAATGTTGCATGAAAAGTACCTATCAAATGGGCAAAGTATATTTGGGTGTTTTAAAGCCTGATTGTTTTGTTTAATACTGAGACTGCACTGCTTAAAAACCTATGAAATGGATGTAACACGCAATATGAGTAATATGATGTGATACTGAGACTCAATAAAATCCTTTGCTAAAGTACTACTGAGCATGACAAGCGGCATGCTTATCAACACACGTGGATCTAAGAAGTTTCGTTGTCTTAATATATTTACCAAATTCAATATCCAAATAACAGGGGTGATATTTTATTAAGACACAAAAGTATCCATTTGCTTCCAATGATTGCCAAAGTAGATCGGTAAAAAGAAATGCATCATAGCTATTTAAGGATATTTTTGCAATTAGTAATACTGGCAGTAAGATGTGTAAGTAGGCATAAGCCCCTATTACAAAAAATACAGCACATCTCACAGAATAATCTTTTGGTTTAACATTTTGAGAAAGGCAATGACAAAAGACAGGGGAGTAAAATCATTACAGAATATTTAGAATGAGGATTACACCTCAAAGTAAAACTACTAATACTAATACAGTATTGAGAGTAATATACTCAGAATAACAATGAATCTAAAATTACTGAAATTCATTAGTCAGCACACATGGCTTCAAAGTACACAGACAATGCGTTGGCCGCGAAAAAAGTATGTTATGAAACTTATAACATTTTACACTTTTTCTAAAACACTTACTAAAGAAACAGATAAGATTGACAGATAATTGTCAAATACAAGCCCCGAATAAAAGATCAATCATCAAATAGTTGTGGCACATTTATAAACAAAGGGAAACAGAAATTTCTTAATAGTTATGACTAAGATATTTATGTTTCTTGTAACAAGCAAAATAACCTTTGTTTTCCTTAGAGCAGGGAAGGAGGTGTTTTTTTGAGTAGGTGTAAGACCCACCTGTGCATGGGCACAGTACTTTTGCTTATTGCTCATAAATTAGAAAATATAGACAAACACAAAGTTATAATCACCTACGGTAATTAAAGGTTTATAACTATACTCAAGTATGGAGAAAAAATACAAATATATAATGGTCAAGGTACATTTCACAATCATCTACATACATAACTGTAAAGGATTAAAAGCTTTGAAGAAAATAAGGGTTATTTTTTCTCAATTGACTATGATTCAGTTTTGTTCCATTTTGGCACTGAGAAAAACAAACCCTTAAAATATTAAAAGCTACCAAACATGAAAAATTATGTATCCAACCACAAACTCTATTAATTAGACTAGCAGCATCAATCTTCTAAAAAAGATAATAAAAAATTTATGAGAAATCTAAAAGGAGACCAAAAATGTGTTTCTAGCTTGTAGGCAATTACTACCCATGTGGCTTGAAGATGAAAATAATACAATGGACTAATGTAACACAAGCAACAAGCACAAAACAAAACACAAGTCACAACAAATTTTGAGACAATACAAAATTACAGCTCACAGACGAATCCACCATACAAAGGTACTTTTTGAAAAAGATGATAATGTTCTTTTTATCACTAGTTATTTTTTTCTTTTGTTTGTAGAATTTCTACGAACATAAGATAGTTAAATTATAAGACTAAAACTTGAATGGCTGTCTATTTTGATCGATTATCCAAACTCACAAGATTTTTTAAGATAATAATCTGATTTGAATACGGTAATGTAAAGTACATTTTCACTTACAATCATCAGACTCCACCTCCTCTTTCTCAAAAGTACCTAAATTCACCTTTTTTGCCTTGTCTTCCTTTCGCCTGCCATTCAGGTGTGGATGGTGCAGCGGCTGAAGGTGAACTCCCATCTCGATCCTGTGGGCATGAGCAATAGTGTCATGTATTATCACCATGCCACCCTACTCTCAAAGCTCCTCAATATCGATTTTCTGTCCAGCGCTCCTGAAATCAGAATGAGATTTAGCTTCTTTCTTTCAAAGTTACCTACATATGAGTTAAATTTTATTTCTTTATCTGTTAATGGTTTTTATTTTAAATTATAAAATAACAGATAACTTACTGTGCGGTCATATCTTGGGGCGTAAACAGGGTTGCTAAACACTTCACTTACTTCGGCAGCAGGTGGTGTTACAATGGTGTGGGGGACATGAGCAATCTGGCCACGACTATTGCGTGCTTTCCACCATTTCCGACTGTCATCTAAAATCTATGTTCAAAAAGCACATAACAATATGTTAACGATGCATTAGGGTCTAAGAATCAAAGCGGAATGAATTAATGCAATACTCACTTCTAAGTACTCCCCACGGATTACAGTGAGTTCCTTGTCATTGTTGGCTGTTCGTGGGTATGTGACCTGTACCACCTTAGCACCCTGTGCCTTCAAGTCCTGCAGCCACCTCAATTGAGCCCTCTCAAACCTTTGTTGGCTGTCTGGTCCCACATGGCCTGGTCCACTGGCAATCGGTGGCCCAACTGGTACACTTCCATTTCGTTCAATGGAGTCAGCGGAAATATCGCTACGGGCCGTGATGTCCCTATGTGGGAGTGGGGGACCAGAAGGATAGTCTCTGTCAGAGCTACCAGGGCTTTGGGAACGTTCCCTAAACAGAGAAATAATATGTTATGACTTAGAAATCTGACATGATCAGACACAATTTCAGGTACATAACTAATCAGACGCAAAATCAAGCAATATAAGTTACAACATAGTCCAACAGATATAAATAAATAAACTGGATTGGGATATGATATGGTAATTCCCAAAACTGCCTTTGGCACAAACTAGATTAGTTGTTTGTAAATTAGTATTGTACACAAGCTCTTACCTCTCATCTCGACTGTATCGTTCTGGCCGATCTCTGTAGAAACGCGAAGAATCGTTTGGCACAGCTTCCAGCTCATCATCAAAGTAGTCACTACCATAATGAGGCTCATTATCACGTCCGTAGTCAGCCTGGTTCATTGAAATTTTTCATTGAAATCATTACAATCACTTGCTTTTAAAATACTTTCTAATGAGAAAAGATAAACTTATGTACCTCTTGTTGTGCTGCTCGTATTTCCTCAGCATGTGTTCTCTTGGCATCTACAGAAGAGGATGCATGATCCCTATCATCCAGTACTGGAAACTCTGGAGACCAGCCATCCATGAACAATGGGTGGTATGGGGAAACATAGCCCTTCCACTGATCCCTATGGTGAAGTATTATATTTATAATGCAATCACAAACATTATGCAGTAAAGAGAACAGTTCATTTACTAAAAGACTCACCTGGGTACAAGCCATGCATCTCCAAGGGATTGCCATAATTCAGTTTCCTTGCTTGTGACACAATTGACAAGTAAATTCACTGCCTCTCTAGTAAGGAGTGGAGAAACCACTTTGGCGGGGAGGTTGGGACCATAGTGAGTATCATGGGATGCATCAACAATTAGAGCAAGAGGCGTAAATAGAAAATGAACTAGCTCTGGTGCATTGGGATCATGAATGTGAGCTTTCAGTTTGGCCTGTAAATAATATAATACCATAAATAACTACTTAGGTTCAAACTAAGCTGTGATATTTTCTGAATTATAGAGTTTGTTACTTGTGACTTACCAACAAATTAAATGACAACTTAAATTTCTGAAATATATCAACAAATTCAACCTCTGGGGGTGGCTTGGCTCTCATTGTAAGCATTCCATCACCCATATCTTTTTTCTTGGATTTCCGGTTCCTTAATAACAAATGTTTTTACAATTTAAATAAATAACAGACAGTTTTTCTATTTACACTCAGTAGTTCAAAATTTAACATACTTTCGTCGACGCTCTAATTCTCTTGATGCAGCAGCAGCATGTTGAAGCCGAGCAATAAACTTTTCAATGTCATCAAAACAATGATTTAGTATGGTGACATCTCTTTCATATTTTTCGCTGGATGTGGAACTTGTTTCATCATTAAGTGACAGTGTAGCTGGATCTCTAGCACCTCTTTCACTCCTCTCACCCAGTAATCCACGTGGAGTCAATGGTTCTTCTCCTGGGGAAAAAAGTTATATTTAGAAAACTAAGGTTTGAGAGGACAGCTTTGAGGGTAGAGACTCAAACAGTAATGGAGAATTTGTTCACAACATAACTTACTGTGAGAAGCCGCATTAAAAGCATTCACTTGCTCTCGGACACTGACTCCATTCAGAGGAGGTTCTGGTGGAGGTGTTGGTGGAGGAGGAGGTATATGCCTTGAGCGTCTAGCTGTGGGGGTTTTTCCACTTCGCAATAGCTTCAGGTCCTCAACAAGCTCCTGTGCTGAAATGCTCTGACCCTGAATATAGAGAGTTTAAGTTAATAGCTGCATGAAAAATGTATACTCATAACTCAGTTTGTTAAAATGATCTCACTTGAAAGATATGCATTTCTGAACGAGAATTGCTTGTCTTTTCATCTCCAACAATGAAAACTAGAATGTTGTTATAAATTTCCATGGGGTCATTGCTGGTAAAGGCTGTAGGCTCTTGAATCAAATTGACTGGAAATCTTTCCATGACATCCTGTACAAAAAATGTAAAATTGTGAGCTAGCTAGAAAGATGAAGTAAATTTCTATGATTATGAAAAGTTACTCACCCCAGATTCAAAATCCATAATAAGGACCCAATTTTGATCCAGCCGAAGCTGCATTTTTTGCGACCATATTCCATTTGATTTTTCTAGCTGGTGCAGGCGTCTCATGCCATCTTCTGGGTAGACTATTCCAGTTTCTTTCGAGACAGTAAAAGTAGCAAGATGTTCCATGAGATATGTTGGGGCAGGTTCCTTAGAACCACTACTGATCTCATTAGTTCGACCATCTAAAATGATTGAAAACATGGGAAGATACGTATATTAAATGGAATTCAGGATAACTATACCATGACTTAAGCACAATATTTGACGACATACCTGTTGAATAGCCATTGGAATGGACACTGCTACTCCTCTGGTACGGCATAATGAATCAATATGGATTGATCACTAAGTCTGAAACAGGAGCAAAAATGACAATTGTATTTTTATTTATACTTTAAAAACATTAGATTTGTGAAAACACATGTGTAAACAAATAGTAGAAGCACTGATCTAATAGTGGGATTTAGTTTTCGTTATTACAGTGTTTAAAATAAGCAGGGAATTCCCAGAACAGCCTTAATTGTTTAGATGGAGTCTAATAGCCTCTCACTATGGCTACCTTAACCTCACTCACAAAATGAAAACAAGTGCCTCAGCTTGTCAGATTCAGTCGGTAACATACCCTCATGCATAGATGACCCATGGCACACTAGTAGGCTGTGTTTACAAAAATTTGAATGTACGCGCGGGGATTTATCTTCCCGTATGTTCCCGTGGTATCACCTGTTGAACTTGGGCGGCCTGTTTTACTGTGTCAGATACCCATTCCCCCCACCCGCCCCCTTCTCTCGCCAGTCAGCCTTCTGCTTTTACTTGCGGGGCCCGGCTCGGCTCGGGCCGGCTCGGCGCTTGCGTGCGCTGCCGTAAGGATTCGCTGGAATCTGGAGTGCTCTGGAACAGCCAGTTCCAGGCCTGCCCTGCTGGCCCGGCCCCTCCAGAAGGCGCCGTTTCTGGACGCGGCATACCTCGGTATACCTCCAGTGTTGCCCAGAGAAGTAGCTGCATCTGCCTACTAGGTAGGCCAACACACACGCCGCACCAGAAAAGATGTTGCCTAGTAGGCAGGCGCGGACTGTACACCGCTCTGGGTGTCTGATTATCTCCGTTTCTCGCAACACTGGATTGAATTACCCCCCCCCCCCCCGTACTCGCGTGTCAAAGTGAGTGATGTACTGTGAATATTGCTATTCAAACCCGAGGTTCACGAGGTCCTCCGGCTGGGAACGAGGGGATGATCCAGGTCCAGGCTCCCTGCAGCCTCATCACTCCAGGTTCCAGTGGCGGAGCCCGCACGCAGGGGAGTGGCGCCGGCGCTGCTGGAGCCCCAGGGCGAGGCTTGTCAGCTGTTCTGCGAAGTGCTACCTACGCCACCGTGTCACTTAGATACTCGTTATCTTCCGTTATCCTGGCTGGGCTACGTCAAGGCAATCTGGCGTCATGCTGCATTTTAGGCTCGACGGCAGCCTGAGTCAGCCTGCGTCAGTTACCCACGTGTCAGTCTGCGTAAGCCCCTGCACAAGCCGCAAGCCCGTGTTCCAGATCACTGCGCATCGTAAGAATATACGAAAAATTAGGAAACTGTCTTCAGGATGGGACCGGAGATTGCTGCAGACACCCTCGCTACGCGTGCATTCACAATAAACCTGTCTAACGAGACACCAAATCGACAGCAGCAATGGTAATTCCCTTTCCTCCCCCAACATACACTGCATGTCTTGCCAAATGCAGTAGTTTTCTTTTCGCTCCCTCTCGTATCCGCATCGTCTTCCGTCTGCCTCGCGGGAGGGAAGGCGCTGGCGGGGAGGAGGAAGGAGGGGGGGGGGGCACACTGACCGGCAGAATAATTATTACTTCTCCGTCATTTCACATTTGACCCAGATATCCCCCGGGCACGCAGCCCGGCGCGCTGGGCGGGCCCGCGGGCCGGGGCCACAGCCGCCATCGGCCGCCACAGCCGGCCGGGTCGGGTCGGGCTTTGTGACTCGGATGAGACAATGAATGAATGAGTGAGTGGACGGAGGCCGAGCCGTGAGGTCGGGCCGAGGGGAGGAGGCCTGCGCCGCGGCAAAGCCTTTGGGCAGAGTGCAGCCCTGGCCCTGGCCTGCTTCTCCCAGCCCCGCCCCGACTTATGCAAAGCGGGATCAAATCTGATCTCGCGGGGGGAATGCCGGCCCGGCGCCCGGCGGGCGCACGGCGGCTGCGCGGCGGGCGCCTTTTCGGCGGTGATGTTGACAAATGAAGCGCAATGGAGGGAAAGGGGGGGGGGCAGCAGTGGCGAGGGGGGCGTCACTGCTTCTGGATGGTGACCGAGGGGGAAGGGGGAGGGCATCTCAGACGGGAACGTCGAAGTCACGTCGTTGGTATCATGCTAAAGTATACCACTATAGGTGGTCGCTGTGCCCGTTCGAGAAAATGTGTATACTAGCCCGCATGCTCGGGTGCGGACGAGTTTGTCCATGGGATCGTCCAAAAAGTACACCCGTTTTTCTCATGTTCAGTCGGCAGATTGCGGGAGCTCGGCGCCTGTGAGGCACAGGGTAGGCCGCTCTGCAGTACACGCATGCATCGCAGGCAAGGTGTTGCCTACCTACCAGGCGCTATGAGAGTTTACATAGGCCGAACTTGTCAGTTTCTCAACGGCGAGTGACGGACGTACTTTCAGGGTAGTATTCGCATTTGATGCAACGGGGCACAACGGCTACCCTTTCCAACACCACGTTACCGACCAATGGTTACTAATGCTGATTGTCACCCGGCCTGCGTCCGTTTCAGGGCCCTTGACGTCGAGCAGACGGTGGGATCGGCCCTCATTTTCCCTGTGCCGTGCAGGGCCCCGGCCAATGCGGCACCGCTGTGAGCGCGCTCTGCTGATTGGGAGTGAAAGGCCAATGGTTTGCACCTCCCTGCTGGAGCCCAGCCCAGCCCACAAACAGGTTGGGCAATGCGGTGTGTCCTGGGCCGCTCGCCCGCCGCCGCAGCCACCGCCGCCGCCCAGCGCGTCCTTCCCCTTCACCCTTCCTAGGCGTTCACTTCCCGGAAATCAACCCCTTTTTAGGTAAAGCAGAACCTTTGCGCGGAGTGCGCGGCCGGCATCTGCATGAGCCTGAAAAAGCCAAGCGATAAGTACACACACTCCCGCTCGAGGCGTGGTGCGAGGGGAAGGGGGGAACAGCACGCACGCATGCACGCGCGCGCGCGCACGCACACACACACACACGCACACACACACGCGCGCACACACGCAGGACACAGGCGCGCGCGCACGCACACACACACACACACACACACAGACGCGCGCAGTCCACCATGGCGGCATTTTTATTCCTATATTGACGTGAAGCCCGAGTGCGGCTAGACGATAGCGGCCCGATCGAGGCGGAGAGTGGCGTAATGTGGCTTGTACCGGGCCGTAAACATCACCGCAGATTCCCTCCCCCTCCCCCGCCGTGCCTTCAGCGCGCGGGCCTCCTACTTACCCTCCACAGCCTGGTAATCGTACATGTATCTCTGTTTTACGTGACTCTTGTTCGGTTACGTGCGACTTTTCTCTGTATGCAGGTATACCTGTACCTGCTGCTGCGGAATTTCTCCGTGAGCATAGCGGGCCTTTCTTTCCAGCCGATTTGGGGGAGGGGGAGGGGGGGGCGTGATCCACCGACAAACAATGTTTCGGCATCGCGCCACTTTGGAGCGCCGCGGCGCCGCGCCCACGTTTGGCAGAGCATGGTCACCCCCCGCCGGCCGCTGTTGACGTGCCGGTGACTGACTCGGGACGAGGCGGGAGGAGCACTGCTCCTGCAACTTCATTCTTTGCTAGTGGTCCCCACACCCCACCGCACCCTGGCATTCAAAGTCCTCCATCAGAGTCCTCGCGACTAACCCACGCGCGAGTCTGTGCGAGCGCGAGGCGTGCGCGCGTGTGTGTGGGTGTCATGTGGGCTTCCCTGCTGCTGCCGCACTTGGGCCCGGGGGCCGAGGGCCGGCCCTGGCCGCCTGTCGCCTTGCCGCTAGGATCCTGCGGGCCCTGCAGTCGGCTGCACACACACGGTAAAAACGAGCCTTGAGATTCCCAGGAGAGTTGGAACCCCAGTGGATGCCCTGGAAACAATCAGTTACTCCCAGAGGGGATCTACTGGAAAACTCAAGACATCCTCTGGGAAAATTGCAGATTTCCAGGGCAACCCCTGGGACTCTTCCAACTCCCCCTGTAAAATGAGGAAAACTCCTGGGAATCCCAGGGCTCGTTTTCACCGTGCAGGACTTGATTAAGACAGGCTGGGTGTGCCATTCGCCAAAGCTGCCAACGGTGCAGTGCGTAGTATCACTGGGCGACGTGCACGGACCACACACGGAGTACTCTGGACATGCCATCTCACCGTTGACAGAGTGTACAGGGCCATGCGTCGTCCGTCACGCTGGATAGGCGGCTGCATAATGACACGGCAGGACAACCCGGCCACCTGTGCAGTGTACGAGAAGAGGGGCCGCCACGCAGAGCGTAGCAGAGCGCCACCGTCGCGGACCAATTTGAATCTCCCGCCAGTCGTGCGTGCATGCGCGGCAGCGGGAGCGGCGCATGCGCGGCGGGCAGACGGTCAGACAGGAGTGCGCACTTGCTGGAGATGGAGGTGGGGGGCAGGGGGCAGGGGAGGGGCGTTACGGTATCACGATTTGAGGACTACACATTCCTGAGCAGCGCGCTGCCAAGGCTGGCTGGCTGGCGCGGCTTCACGAGGGGCGGGGCGGGGCGGGGCGGGGCGTCGCGAGCCCCAGCGGCTGCGCTGGTTTCCAGCCAGGAGGCGGCCGCCTTGCCCGCCTTGCCTTTAGCTCCAGTGCCTCGGCTCGGCCCGCCTTTAGGCCTGCCAAGACGGCGTTCCTCTACCGCCGCGGCGCCGAGCTCGAGGAGCAGTTGCGTTTGCGTGGCTATTCTCCTCCGTCTCTGTCGCCTCAGTGGGGCCGCCGGCGCGGCGTGCCGGGCGCGAGGGAGACGACAAGCGAGCCGCCGTTGGCCAGCCTCCAGCCCCGCTCCAGCAGCTCCAGCAGCTCCAGCAGCTCCAGCCGCAGCGCGCAGCCGCGCAGCAGGCTCCCGGGGAATGCCGCGGCGGGCCGGGCCGCGCCGGGCTGGGCGGGGCCCGGGTCACACGGCTGCAGGTCGCATTGCGAGCAGTCCTAAGGCCCCCAGCCCTCCCCACCCCGCGGCGGCGCTGTCCTCGCACGCCCCCCGGCCCTACGGCGCCCCTGGCTGGTGGAAGGCGTGTCGCCGATGACCTCTGAGGGGCGCCGGAAGTCGTGCCGCGGAACACAAGGACACACATGCGGGGCGGCGGCGGCGGCTCTGTAGTGGAGCACTGCCTCATCCGCACCACGAGAAAGGGAGACGGAAAGTTGCTGCGGTAAACTTGGACTTCATCTTTTGGGGAAAATCCAAGGAATGCGTGGTGTGTAAGGCAGTAGGTCGGAATCGGACTACTATCCGCAAAGAGTACAGCGAAAAGCACAGGCTGATCGACCAAAAGCAAAGCTAGACGCAGCCTCCTCGGGGATCCCGCCCTCTATGCTGTGAGCTCCTGCCTCGGCCGCGACTGCAGCTCGTCCCCAGTGGTATGTAGCAGGCCCCTTCATCCCGTCTGGAGCGGCCTGCCTGCAG